TGTATGGTAGTTTTCAAGCCTGATTACCAGAGAAGCATGTTCCCCCGCTCGGTTTGGGTTTATATTGACCTGAATCATTTTCACCATTTTATATAATTTTATACCAATACTTGATGAATATTATGTAAATGGGCGGCATGGTGACTGTGGATAGCACTCTCGCTTCTCAGCAAGAAGTCCCTGGGTTCGAATCCCTGTCAGAACAGGGCCTTTTCTGAGGTGAGTTTGTATGTTCTCCCTGTGTCTGTGGAGGTTTCCTCTGGCTGCTCTGGTTGCCCCTACCACTAAAAACATGTACAATAGGTCTGTCATGCGCCTCTCTCCCAACTCTGTGTGGATGAGAGAAAAATGCCCACAATTGTATATATGATTTTTAAAAAAATTAAAATATATATATATAAAAAAATGTATATATATATAAAAATGTATATATATATATAAATGTATATGGGCATGTTCACACTAAAGGGCACAAAAGTGTGACAAAAGGCCAAAAATTAGATTTTAATAATCAGAAGATATTTAATGTTTTTCATGTTTCCAAACACCTCCTCTGTCCATTAGAAGTTGCTAGAACATAACTGTTTTATACATTAGACAAGTTTCCTAAAGCGGCCCTGTTTATTTTATTTAACGGACGTGATGATTTGACGGAACGAGCTTTGTGGAAGTTTGATAGGTATTTTCAGATCCACAATTGATTCAGAGATTCTATTTTTTTACACAAAGTAGATGCAAAGTGATACTTTCATATTGTCAAGCAATTAAATGTGAAAACAGACCAGTTTTTTTTTTCTCAAGTTTAATTTTTAGAGAAAAGAGGACCGTCCTCATCACGTCCGTTATACACTTTTCAGGGGTCATTTAATTAATTCAATAATTTAAATTATTTTACGATCCATCAGTAATCAGTATTTGCAAGAATTGTATAATTGAGCGTTTTGTCGTTTCTGGGTGTTTCGTCAGTAGTAGTACAGCTTTAACAAAAATCTTCTTGTGAAAGACTGCCATCTTGTGGACAGAACTTTGAATTTAGGCTTGTGGCTCCACTCCAAACAAAATGCGTCACCCCGTAAATGCCTGTCGCGTAAACGTTCCAACAGTAATATTGTGTGAAATAGATTTGGTCCGCCTCGGGAACAGCTGCAGCGCTCTGCTTTTTGGACACAATATCTTTTCTCTCCTTCACTTCACGCCTCTTTTGTGTTTTCAATATCAGCCTTTTATTTCCTCCTCTTTTTTTCCTATTACTTTTTTGTTGCACTTTCAATGCTGCCCTGGTTTAGTTTGTGCATTGTCTCCCAGTACACATGGACACACAGATATCCACTAGGGATTTCCCACAAGTCAGGAAAATACATTCCTGTGAATATTAGTCCATGGAATTTTAGCCGGGGAGTGGGGATAAAACAAAATGTGCACTGTGTAGTATGGCTTGCAGTGCAGTGAAAAATCTAACTTTATTGACCGGATAAGTAATCTTCCCACTTAATTAAAATAGAGTTGTATACACAATATACAATATAAGAACTACATATTTTATTAGGTCATGGGATCTGTTTCTCAACTCTTACTTTTATTTCAGCTTGTGGCAAAAAGGCAAACTCATGTTTTGCCTTTTTCAGAAGCAACGCAAATTATTGTATTATTTATAGCATCATTGCTACTAGTACTTTTAACTTAACCTTGTTATTGTCCCAAGAAGTCCAATCAAAGGTTTGCATTGTCTGATCCGGTCCATGCCTTGTGCTTGTGAACATGTTGGCCCAGTAGATGCAGTGTAGCAGCAACAGCAGCAGCTTGCTCTACATCTGGAAACAATAGAGGTCCGATGCTGTCACTTTCCTTTTACCTCAGGCCTTTGAGTCAGCTCTTAAACAAACACTCAATTCACTTTGCTAAATTACAGGAAGGCAATCCGAGCTGCGCACTCAGATTTGGACCCGGTTCCTCTCTTCTCACATTGACGAGAACATGCCAAGATTCGAGATGCAATTTCAGCCCTGCATGCAAACTACAGCTTCATGTAATGTAGGTGTAATTGCAAAACCAAACTGCGTGAAATATTTTTAAAGTAATCACAGGGGTGTGCCCTCTCTGATTGATGGGATGTGATTGGTGGAATTGTAGTGTTTATACAGTGAAATTATGGTTTCCACTGTACATTCAAAACAGTTTAGCTGCTATAAATCTGACACACGATTTTTCAGGTTATTGTGATGTTTTGGAAAGTATAATTCTGATAGATTTGCTGCAGGCCTATGTTGAAAATGCCTCTTTTGAGCATCCATCCATTTTTTCCCACTTTATCAAGATGGGTGGTGAAGGGAGCATTCTTCCACTACTGCTCAGTCCTCTGTGCACCCGGCCCCGCTTAAGCCCTCTGCAGGTGGGAGCCCACAGGGTCCACATCCCGGGCCAAACTCCAGGGTGGGGCCATTCTGGGTGATGTCACAATTCCTGATTTTTCACTGTCCATGGGAGTATTCTAACTGCACTCTACCAGCGATGTTGCACCTGAAACAACACAAACTCCCCCCACCATGTTAAAACAGTCCACGGGGAGTACTACATCTTAACTACACATGGACCTAACTCTCAACACTGTTGCCAGCCCAGGGATTCAATCCGGAGAGGAGCGATCATTATCATACACAGCCCCAACCAAATAAAGAATAAACAAATATCATCTTCTGTAACAATAACAGTGTTTTAAGAGAAAATGCTTCATAAACTAAAAAAGTGACACTTATAAGGGCTGGATATCTTTCAGAGCCTGCTGATACATTATAATGCCTAATTTCCATGATACGATTCTTGTAATGCAAATATTATCTTAAAAATGTATTTTTATTATTATTATTACAGCAATCAGGGAACAGGGAATATATATATATATATATATATAAAGTAAATGTTTCTTAAAGTCTTGTTTGTTTCCACCCCTGCCATACTTGTAATACTACTACTGGTCAACAGGTGGCAATATCAATCTGCTGACAAGGCGGGATTAACGTACTCAGGTGACACTCAGGAATGTTAACAGACCTATTGATTACGCTGCGAGTAGTTTACACAATTGTTGCTGTTGCATTAGAAATGTTTATTCTTTCATCATCAAATGATACAAAAGTGTTTAAATAACAGACACATTAAAAATAAATCTGTAATATTTGTACAATGATAAATTAACAAAGTTTCAAAAGCATTTACATTTTCAGTCATTTTCAGTGGTTCTCATTATTTATAGGCAGTGTCACTGTTGCGTATCTGAAGGCACAACTCTGTGGTTGTTTGGACATGTCACTTGAACCTCAGTAGTGAATGGGGCCAAGCATTAAGACTGTTTAAAGGCAAACTGCATTAGCTCATTTGGGATTTGGTCAGCCCTCTAATTCAATTCTCTTTAACTCAACATAATGTTTGTTTGACATTGGTAATGTAATAAGTGTGCCATACTGGTCTTAGAAACTCGACTGTTTGGCTCGTCCAGAAACAAACGTACCATTCAGTCATCCTAAACCGCCTGTCTCATAAAGAAAGCTATAAGTGACTGCTAATGCACTAACAGCCCTTCTGTAGTTCTACTTTACATTCTCTACATTCAAAGAGCTTACTATTTTACTACTTCAGATTGTCAGGCAAATTCACTTCACATAGAACAAGATGTCTTGTTGGCACAGTCTCAATAATTGTAATGAGAGATCATTGCATGGTGCAAATGTGCTCTGAAGTTTACATACTCTGGTGCGTTATGCATTCCAAGTGTTATTATAATAGATCAATGAGTCCTAGGCATTTCTCAGACAACATGAATGATAATACAATGCTGTCATAGTTGGATGAAACACTTTTACCAACAACAAATCATAAGTCAAGCAAAAATATACCCCAAGGTTTCGGATCAAAAGTTGACAATAAATGACAATAAATGACCTGACCAAACCACTATCTCAGAGTGGGAAAAAAATCCAATCTGATCATGAAGAATCTCTGAGAAATCAATAAATCCTACATTCTGCCAGAGTATGTAAATGTGTAAGCACTGTTTGTGGTAGTATCATTGGTAGGATCTTGATTGTCAATGAACATTCTAAACGTAGTGTATATTATTCAACAACTAGTAATTTGAATTATAAAAGTAATGACAGTAATGTATTTTGGCCATTGATTGTCTAATAACCTGTAATTTATACTAGCCTGAGGCCTGTGTTTTGAAGCAGGTCAGAAGGAATAATTTAATTTCCTGGATTTCATGGTTACACACTGTATATATATACAGTACAAGGCTGTTCGGTGAGTGCACTCGGGGCTGGAAGTTAACGGACATTCTCATGAGTCTACAAAGGTAAAAAATACATGCCTACAGATACCCTAAAGCGTTCACATTTATAGCTCAATAAAAGGCACAGCTGGACTTTCCTTTGAGTCTCACAGATCACGAGTGCAGGTGTGTGTGGACATACACAAGGCATCAAGAGTTGTTTTTGGTTTTTGAGAACGTGATATTTGGCTCCATCTTCAGGGAATTTCTCTGGCTAGCAGACCGCTTCAAACTTGATACACTATTTTATTGGATTTTTTGACTTCCTGTACTCCTGAGTGCCAACCGGGAGTGTTGCACTGCTGGTTTGGGGAACTGTCTGCCAGGATAATACCTGTTCTAGAATCCTCCAGTGTATTTGAAGACCCTGACTGGGCCTGTGTTCTCCTGCAGTGGGAGACACGGGGCGAGAGAATACAGCTGTCTCTTCTCATACTTCTATTTCAGCCCTTTCTTTCCTCTCACTGGCCTTGAGATATATGAAGATGCTCAGTGCCTGCTGGTTGTACTAATGTACTGTCAAAGGGTTAGCTTATTGGCCGCTTTGACGCAATAACACCCAGTGGAACAAAAACCCCTGCCATTGTCTTTGATTTAACATCAGTCTTTTGGCATCTCCAGGGTCTGTTTGCAGAACTGAACCAGGTTTAAAGCTCGACTTCATTCAGGGCCATCCTCATACCACTGTCTCGTTCCCTTTGGCTGGTTTAATCCAGCCCTCACCAGGCCCTCGCTTGCCCCCTCTGCTGGCTCGACTGTCCCTGAGCAGCCGAGCAGTGCAGCGTTGCCAGGTGTGAAGAGTCTTTGCTGACCAGATCCACATGCCTGACGTGATGCCAACTAGAAGTGACATGAAAATCCGCAGCATCTCTGAAGCGATATATGAGTCCCTGGGAGTTGAACTGAAGTCTGCCCAATTGGAGAGCTGGTAGAGGTAACACCCAATCACAGTTGAGGCTGGGACTGTGTAGAGGACAGAAAAGACCCCAATCTTCACCATCAGCCGCTCCAACTTGTCAGTCTTTGCACCGTCTTTTTGCAGATTGGAACGAATCTTAAAGAGGGCCACCAGGCCAGCACAGATAAACAACGTTCCTACAAAAAAACACACACACACACATTACAAGGCGAACAACTCTAATAAGATCGTACAGTGTTTTTCTTTCAACTTAATTCAATATTGAGTGTTGATTCTGATTATAAAACAGAAAAATTAATACCTATTAGAAGATATGTAGCCAGTGGTGCTACAACAAATCCGGTGAGTGCCTCCTGTTGCATGTTTCCAACGTAACACAGTCCAGTGAGGTCATCTGCATCCACTAGTCTCATTATGAGGATCACTATTGTTTTAACCGCTGGAATGGCCCAGGCAGCAATGTGGAAGTAGGAACTGTGCATTTCAATCGCTTCATGTCCCCACTTGAGTCCAGCAGCCAGGAACCATGTCAGGGTCAAAATAACCCACCTGAACAAAGCCAAGAGAAGGGAGGATTATTTCATCATTTATTTAATTTTGATCAACGCTTAATGAGTCTCATAAAGCATTCAGACACTCACCACAGTGAAGAGGCCATGCCAAAAAAGTAGAGCAGGAGGAAGACTATGGCACAACCAGTACTCTTCAGGCCTTCTTGCACCAGAATGGGAACAGCTGTGGCATCTAGGTCACAGGAGACACGCTCCCTTCCCAGTGTCAGTCGGACCTAAACAAAAGTAAACGGAACATGTGTTAATCTTGTCAATCTTCTTGAGACTGTCACTAAGGGAACGCTCACAATGGGTTGGTCTGGTTCACTTTAACTGGACCAAATCTGGTTCAAAAACGGATCTGTTTATAAAGATGTACCCTGACAAAGTGACACGTAGACTATTGTTTACTTGCTAGGGGGTTTTACATTCAGAAATAAAACATTTTTGGCCCATGTGAACGAGAATTTATTGAGTTAAAGTGAAACATATCAGCCTTAATTCAGGCATGGGAGGGGGTGCTCGTAGTACAGTACAGAAAAAGTATAAGAGCCCTTTTAGTTGCCGTGTGTATGAATTGTGCTATACTTATAAACTTGCCTTGCCAACAGTATGATGCAGTTATGGCACTCTTGCTGGAATACGTTTGGTACAGTAATTACGGAGTGAATGAATAAATTAGTATATGCCCTTAAATAATCAATAAACCAACCATCACTGTTTATTATTGTGTTATAAATGGTTTCATTCTTACCAGGTAGGCCACGCTATACAGGTTGCAGCACATAGACAGGAAAATGATGGGCCTTTCTGGGTAGGAGAAGCGCTGCGAGTCCAGGAGAAATGTTAGGACAGTCAGAGTGGTGGAGAGGAAGCAGAGCACCGCCCACACGGCCATCCAGGCGTCCGTGAAGACTTTGTTGCCTCTGCGATACAGGCCGCTGTCGTAGCCGCACTGCAGGGCACAGCTGTCGGTCTGCTTGAGCCAGATGTACTGGTCGGGCAGTGACCCCAGCTCTTGACACTCCTCTTGGTGAGGCGGGTGGCGCACAGGATGGTAGGGCGGGTCCTCGTCTCCCGGGCCCTCCATGCACATGTGGTTGTGGTCGTTCTGAGGCGGGAACAGGCTGCAGTTCAGCATCTGATGGGGAGGAGGAAATATGCTTTTTATGTCCCTCCAAATAGGAATAGTGTTATGATAAGCGATGAGATAGTATTACGGTCAGTAAATATATTTAGACATTTATATATGGAGCACAAATAAATAAGCAGGACATATGTATCCTAATATGCTGCAGAAAACTTTTTTTGTGTGTTTAAATTCAAATTTGATTTGACTGGGACTTGACTTGGACTAAAGCTAAATAAGGTTTGCAGACAGATTTTGACGAGTTATTATTAGGTATAATATGCCATCGTATCACTCATGAAGTTACAAAACCTTCATTGGTATTGATTCCCATTCATTTAATTGTTGATGGTATGACGTTTACGGACGGGAAAAAGTCCAAGGGTCACAAAGAAACGCAAATCGAGCTGTATGTGGCCCTCGAGCCACACTTTTGCCCCTCTCTCAAACCTGCAATTATATAGATAGATAGATAACTTTACTACAGACTCACGGTCCAGATCATGTAATTGTAACTGTAATTGTAACTTTTGAATTTGGGACCTCCCTCTGGTGGTAGCATAAGGAGTTACATGCAGTTAAAACGTGTTTTCCGTCATACTTGTATTACCATATATTTTCTTTCTACTTGAGATATTATTCCATATTACAAAATGGAAATGACTAAGACAAAGCCTTATTATTTCTAATGGTCAAAAATGATCCATAGTATTTAGTCTCAAACCAAGGTGTCAATGGATCTCAAAAATAATTCTAGTCTAGTTAGATGGGGTCAGCGATAGTAGCAGGGATATTTTTACACTTTTTTCTAGTCCTAAATTGATGACGTTTATAACAAGTCTGAACGAGTAAGAATTAAAAGAGTGTAATTGGTCTTACCTCTGGCCAAATGAAGCCAAACTCGTGCAGAACAGGGAGACACTTCCTCTTCACAGACAGACACATGCTTTTACAGGGCCCAATGGGGATGGGCACTTTATCTGTGCACATGGGCACGTAGACTGAGCACAAGAAGAACTGGGGAGATAATGGGGACAAGGAGTTAACAACGTGTCTTCTCAATATTACTGTTATTACTGCTGGTATCACATGAGCAAGATGATACACAAATTCAAAAATCTCTTATCAAGACAAAAGGCAAAAGTTATACGCTTTATCTCATAACTTCTATAATAATATGTATTTGTGTGACTTAGTGAAGGATTTTTGGCTTTGTTTGATATAAAAAAAAAAACCTTTTCGTCCAGCGTGGAGAGGATGTGAAAGCAATTTTGAACAATTTTACGCTTTTTCTCTGTTAAGCCAGCGTGTCCAGATGTAAAATTGAGTTTGAGTCAAAAGGTCACTGCACACGTTCATGTAAATTGAATAAACTTTATGCTTTGGGTGTTGGGAAGGTTTTATAAGGCAATATCACGCAACCAACCAAATTATTTATTTTTAAAAATGGTTCAGGTTAGTTCAATGATAGTTTTTTGTTTATAGCTAGCTCAGAGAAGCAAATAATAAATCCTTTTACAAATCATCCCTTGAAAAAGTTAAACATGAATCCAAGGACGGTTTCCATGGTTAAGATGTTTTAGTCAATAGTTTTAGGTGGTCATCAGTAACATTAGAAAGAAATGCAATTATTCTCGTTTAAATCTAATCTTAAATCAAAACTCAGGAAAAATTAAGTCCATTGTTTTTGGGATTACCATGACTGTTGTGCTATTGACCTCAGGCATATTAGAGGAACTCTTTGTTTTCACAGTTTACATTCTGAAATAGTTGTAGAATGTGAAAATAGAAATAACCTATAAGTACCATTTAAAAAGATATTCAAAAGGCTTACAATTTGCCCTTTACCAAGTATTTTTTGAAAAGCCGGAATTAGTAACATATAAATATAGTTTTACCCCTTCTTGAGAAAATCCTTTCACATTTACTACCAATAACAAAACATGTTGCAATACTGCAAATTATTCTATTACATATCTGAAGCAGAGTATGCAAACTGATACATGTCTCTCTGAAGACTTTCTTGTATGTACATAAAAGTATCTCTTGTTGTATTTCCCAGTACAAGTGCCATGAGTAATGCAGCTCATTCAGGGTATTTTGCAGTGTCGTTGGTAATGTGAGTGCTGCCACTACTCTGCAAAAAGCTGCTCTGGTTACCAGTCAGGAAGCCTCCCATTAGAGCAAATGTTAGGGGATATAGTTTCCTTTTCCCTTTCCTCCCTCTTTAGCGTGCGTGCGTGCGTGCGTGTGTTGAAAAGCAGCTAATCTTACTGGACAACTTTTAGCGGGACCAGACCACTTTTGGTTGCTGTCTGTACTCCTCAGAGCAGATGGCCCTTTTACATTGTTGTTTTTATGATGAAGATGCATATTTGATTCCACTAATATATTTTAAGACATGATCTCATTTTTCTTACATGGTTCATGAGGCAAACAAGCAGCATTTGTCTCAGTGCACTAAGGGCACCATTGTTGGGTCAGTACAGTAAGAAAGGACCGGAGACTCAGCTGTTGCTGTGTGGGGCATGAACTCAGAATGTCAAAATACACAGAGGGCTTTTTCACTGAAAGAAACGAAGGCATTGGCACGGAAACTGACAGGATAAGTTCATTTATAATGACCGAATGGTCCTCCTCAATTCTATGTGAACGAGGTTTCATGCTTGTGTTATCACTGGCACCATCAGTCTGAACTATTGCTTGTCATGTGCCTCTCCAGTCTCACGCAGCCGCTCAAATATAGCAGAGAGCGCAGGACTTATCCCAGACTTTTGAGTCCTGGATCAAGTTGCTCAATCAGTGCGAGTGGCGTGCGCGTGTGGCTGCGCTTTTAATAACAGCGCGTTGGTCTCTTATTCGGACCGTACCTTGAGTTGACTGGAGCAGCCGTACTGGATCAGAGGCGTAAATGTGGTCAGTTGCAGCTCAGCGTCCGACTGTAGAACGTTGCCGACCAGGTTGGGCATCTTCGTCACGTTATAGCCCAGACCCTGGCACATGCTGATCCGGATGGGATCACAGGTCATCTCCTCCACCTCGTCCCCAAAGCCCCGAACCACGAGTGGACAGAGCAGCGCAGACAGAGAGAGGACTGCTGCCTGCATAAGCGTTAGCCCGGGCATGGTCACCACATCAAAATACTAACGCCCTAATGAATAAAAGTTCACGCTAAATAACATGTACGTTACTGTAATGCTGAGCGTGTAGTCCAAACTGCGCGTAAAGGTCCGTGCGCTGGTACGACTATAATCCACTCCACGCCATTCAGCTGGCTGGGTACCAGGTCCAAACGGGGAAATAATGAACAACATTCACTTTTAACGAGATGCAAAGGTATATTCCAATGCGTATCCGTCCGTTGTTTCACGTTGCGTCCACATGCGACAAGCAGCAGGGAGCTCCGTGCCTCCTGCCTGAGCGTCCACACTAAACTTTATTGTGTCTGTGAGGAGAGAGTGTTTTGTCCGTTCGGAGGAGTGTTGGCCAATCCTGTGAGGGACTAAGGTCGCCCTAACCAACCCGCGGCCAGGAGGCGGGACATCTGAGTCTGTCCCATGTATTCTTTATCATCCTTACTTTTCTGCATTGTTTCTTTTTTATTGAGCTGATATTATTTTCATTTTTCTAAAAGCCTTTTGCCTTTTGTATGTTACTTTTTCACTGCTTTACTTACTCTCGCTACAATTCAGGACTTTGGCTGGTGTGAGTAAGTTCCCACAAGCTCTAATTTTATAAAAGTAATCTCTTACAATATGTTTGGACGTTCACCGCAGGTTCCACTCCCCTGGCTGAAGGGCCCATCAGCTCTAAGTGGCCCTGACATTGTAATTGAAAGTAGGGCCCTTAAGTGATGCTGAGGCATTGGGTAAAACTGTTTTGCATTGCAATGAAGGCACATTTGGACAGGTTTTGTTTGCTTGTGGCACCCTGGGAGAGGAGGACTACTCTAGTGCAGCATGAAACTCAGGTTGAAGAGTGGTGCTTTGGATATTTGGGAATTAAAAAGTGAGTACAGTTCAAATACTCTTGGAGAATGTTATTCTGTGACCGTTGAGCTCGGTCCCAATTTCCAAAGCAGAGCCGATGAAAGCCAGGCAGGTTTAGCGCCTACCTAAGTATCAACCGTTTCCTGTGATTTGGTGGAAGGCATAGATGACACAATAAAGCCATTACTAATATGTTCCACCTCGTAATCAGTTCGATGTAAAAAATAAATTCCACTAAGATCATTGAATAAGGACAGTCCAAGCTGATCAACATTTATTCTCAAAAAGTGAGAGAACGTTTTCATTGCAGGTGTAATGATATGAACTAACTATGCTTTAACAAGCCTTTGAAAATAACTGGGGTTCACTAATTTAGTACATGATTCATGTGTGACTCATTCTTCTTTTTTTTTTGACGGTACATAGATTCAAACTCTGCAGCTCTGGTCAATCTAGTAGGTCTGCAGAATTGAAAGAAAATGTGTTTTCTTTCAGAAAAAGTATTTTTTACAAAAAAAAGTTTAACAAGTCATCTTTATGAAGATGTTCTCAGGGGCATCACTTGAGCTTTTCTTTGGGCTGCTGTTTTTCAAAAATCCCATAATCACTGACCTTTCTGGATCGAAACAACTGCACAATTATCAACAAAACATGTCGATGAAACCCCTTTTATGAAGAATTATTTAATTCGAAATAGACTTATCTTTTCTTCCACTCTCTCAGAAAGACAGAAAGATCAACTTTGCTACTTTAGCCTAGTGTGTGTAGGTAAACTTTCCCCTGGCTTACGATGTGATGTTTTTGGTAAATCCACTGTGACAATTGATTGGCAGCACCGGTGACCTCTCCCACCCACTGACCCGAGCCTCTCTCTCCCCCTAGACTCCCCCCTCCCTTTTGTCTCCCCCTAGACCCCCTCTCCCCTTTCTCCCCCCTTCTACATATTCACCATACATCTACACACGCCCATTGCTATCCTCCTCTCCGCTGCTCTTTGGCTGAACCCTGGGTCAGAGCCTGCAGTAATTAGCACTAAGCTGTAACAATAGAGTATGCCCTGCAGCTTCTCCTTATCTGGCCTTTGGTGTGATAAGAACCTTGCGTTTGAAATGTATCCAAAACTCACATGATCTTCAGGAGCAATGCAGTATTAACACATTCCTTCAGAATTTGATTTTCATTGACAGTAGAGTGTAAGAGCGTCAGAAAGCGCCTGAGAACAAACACTGTGATTGCTGTAACGTACTACTTCATGATCACACTGCCATAAAACTATAGAGATAGTGACAGTGATTGGCTTGAGCTGTGGTGAGTGCGTGGATATTTACAGCCCTCATTCAACAAGTGAGTGATAAGTAAACAAGTAGCTGTGGTTTCAAATGATTTACACTGATAGAACTCTTCTAGATGATGCACGTTTGTGTAAATATATGATCATTTTTGCGAATGTATGAGCTGATGTTCTAAACAGTTGTTCCACAAAAAAAGTAGTTCGTTTTTTCTAGTTTCTGTTGTAAAAGAAAATGATGATTCTTTCCAAGCCTTGTGAATTCCCCCAAAACAAAAGGAGGCACATAAGAGGTTAAGAAGCTGTTTATCCATGTCATTATTTAAATGTGGATCTGGAACTGTTGTTTCTGTTGAATGCAAACGTGAAGGTGGACTGTTCGTCCCTGTGAGATCTCTTGGTTAATGCACTCACACATTTTCGACTGGAGGATTTACCACTTACCTGTTCGCATGGACACGTTTTTGCCATAATTTTCCTGGACAGTTCCACAGTTGGGTATTGTCTTGTATTCATTCAATTGCGGTCTGTTTATCAGTTTTTCTTTATAGGGGTCTTCACTCTGATGTCTTTAATCAGCGTTATGTTGTTAACAAAAGTTCTACATCAGCAGGATATGGCTCATGGGCACATGAGCCATATCCTGGATCTATGCAGAAATAATTGTGACATCAGTATTCTGTGTTGAGCATGATAGTAATGGAAAGAAGTTTCCAGAATCTCATGCTGAGTATTGTTGAGTATTCTTATCAGGTCTGTAGTTCTGATGTAACTATTGACCAGGGAGAGTTGTTTTCACTGGATCTTATCTAATTGAGGTTATTGAGGGACACAAGTCCAGCGTTTTAGAAAGATGCCATAACTTACGGTTTGCCTGCGTATACTTGGCGGTGATCGACTGGGGCAGATTTGCAGTGCTTTAGGCTAAAAATGAAGTCAGGGCTTTCTAATTATCTATGGCAGAGCCATAACCTTCATGTGATTCAAAAGAGAAATGGACTTTTCCCACTCTACAGCACTGTGGAACCTGCATGTGCAATGGAATCTAGGTCATTTGATCCAAGATCACATTTGTCTCAATCTGGATGTGACCATTTTGTACTGTATACATGGGTTCAAGGATGATTTTACATGAGAAGAAGACAATTTATTTGTATTGCACATTTCACACAAAAACTGTATCTAAATGTGCTCAAAGGGGATTTAGGCAATTATATCACATTAAAGCACATTGTGGGAGGTATATGTGATCATCCTTGCTGCTGCAGGAGGGTCTGTTGGACATTTAGTGTCTGACAGGAAGGACTGTGGTGATGATTCAGGACACTTTAACATTCTACAACATGTATGACATTTATCAACATTCATGGACATTGGTCGGGACTGGGCGGACTGGGCGGCACGGTGGCTGAGTGGATAGCACTCTCGCCTCTCAGCAAGAAGGTCCTGGGTTCGAATCCCGGCCGGACCAGGGCCTTTCTGAGTGGAGTTTGCATGTTCTCCCCGTGTCTGCGTAGGTTTCCTCTGGGTACTCCGGTTTCCCCTGCCACTAAAAATATGTACAATAGGTCTGGCATGCGCCTCCTGTTCGACGACTCCGCTCCCATCTCTGTGTGGAGTGAGAGGACAAGTGCCCAAAAATAACAATTGTAAACCGCTTTGTGACTCTGGTCTGTGAAAGGCGGTATATAAATAAAGCTTACTTACTTACTTACTTACTTGGTCTCTCCCTATGAACCAATACATTTGTGTATTTTCTGTGACTTAACTGTTGATTATCTGATCTGTGTTGGTGATTTCAATGGTTTTGTCAAGTCCTCTGAGATGACTGCTGTAGTGATTTTGGGCTATACAAGATTAAATTGTATTGTATTGAATCCGTGACACCCGTGTCTCATTAATACATATTTACAGTGCCTTGCGAAAGTATTCGGCCCCCTTGAACCTTTCAACATTTTGCCACATTTCAGGCTTCAAACATAAAGATATAATATTCTAATTTTTTGTCATGAATCAACAACAAGTGGGACACAATCGTGAAGTGGAACAAAATTTATTGGATAATTTAAACTTTTTTGACAAATAAAAAACTGAAAAGTTGGGTGTGCAATATTATTCGGCCCCTTTACTTTCAGTGCAGCAAACTTGGTCCAGAAGTTCAGTGAGGATCTTTGAATGATCCAATGTTGTCCTAAATGACTGATGATGATAAATAGAATGCACGTGTGTGTAATCAAGTCTCCGTATAAATGCACCTGCTCTTTGATAGTCTCAGGGTTCTGTTTAAAGCGCAGAGAGAACCATGAAGACAAAGGAACACACCAGGCAGGTCCGAGATACTGTTGTGGAGAAGTTTAAAGCCGGATTTGGATACAAAAAGATTTCCCAAGCTTTAAACATCTCAAGGAGCACTGTGCAAGCAATTATATTGAAATGGAAGGAGTATCAGACCACTGCAAATCTACCAAGACCCGGCCGTCCCTCCAAACTTTCATCTCAAACAAGGAGAAGACTGATCAGAGATGCAGCCAAGAGGCCCATGATCACTCTGGATGAACTGCAGATAACTACAGCTGAGGTGGGAGAGTCTGTCCATAGGACAACAATCAGTCGTGCACTGCACAAATCTGGCCTTTAGGGAAGAGTGGCAAGAAGAAAGCCATTTCTCAAAGATATCCATGAAAAGTCTCGTTTAAAGTTTGCCACAAGCCACCTGGGAGACACACCAAACATGTGGAAGAAGGTGCTCTGGTCAGATGAAACCAAAATCAAACTTTTTAGCCACAATGCAAAACGATATGTTTGGCGTAAAAGCAACACAGCTCATCACCCTGAACACACCATCCCC